ACAAAAATAGACAGAGAAAATTCTATAAATATATAGAAATGCGATTCAATTAGATAACACACGAAAAATGTGAAGTTTTAAAATAATAAAACATTGATTATACTGTACAGTAAGGCCTTTGCACAATTAGCACTAATTAGCATTATAGCCTCTGCAGACAATAGTTACAAAATGGCTAGGGCTGATTTGGAGGTTATTGAGGAAGCTGAATGCATTTCTGACATCTTCAGTATCAAAAATTGCAGTTTTAACCAGAAAGTGGCCATATTTGTAATACGGTGGACTGATTTGGATGCATTTCACGTCGATTTAAAGATTTAGCGTTCTCAAAACTGCCATTTTTGATCTAAGACATGTCAGAAATCTATTCAACAACCTCTATAACCTCCAAAAGCACCCAAGAATGGTATGCATATTAATAATAATTAATGCAACTTGTGCTAATTGTGCAAATTGCCCAACATATGCAAGTTAGCATACGGCAGTTTCTATGTGCTGGGGACCCTTACTTAACATTTCTAACATAAAACTTTGGTATACTCAGCGTTACTGGATTCACATTGCTGGCAAGTCGACTATAACCCAAATGATGACTTGATTTGTGGAGGCAGACATTTTAAATAAGACTCTGTGGCGGCAAGTAAGCTGTGAGTGGTTTGAAAAGTGACGCTGCCAACACCAAGTGGAAAAGGTTTCACACACACACACACACACACACACACACACACACACACACACACACACACACACACACACACACACTGATGACAGGTGCCCATAGGTTTCTACAAAAGCTTTTCTGCGGTTGTAAATGTGTGTTTCTTCACATCAAGTCTGGGAGAAGGAGACCCTTGAGTTGCATTATGGGAAATGTAGGAACCTGCATTTAGTTTTTGCTTTACCCAAAGTCACTAAAAGTCAGGACATCTCGGCCTCTTTCGCTCACATTTTGACCATTATTTTTTCTTGATATAAGGATTTTCTGCAAAAATATGGAAACCCAATGTGGGATATTCTGTGGGATTTCACTTTAGATTGGTTTTAGTGTACTGTAGCATAATGTATATATAGGGAGGTTGTAATAGGTTGTAAGAGAGGGTAAGACATATAACTAGAGCATATTAAACACAGAATTGCACATACAATTGAAATAACGAGAGGAGTCACGTGTTACTAAAAGAACAATATTTTAATATCCTCTCTGGCAGGCATTAGCTGTATTAAATACACATATATAGCTTTCCAGTTTTGTTCAGAAGTGATTCAGTTATCAGTATCACATTAAAGCTCGTCGCCCCCTTTACTCCAGAGTCAAAGCTGTTAATAAACCAATAGACATTTGGAACAATCATTATTTACATAAGATACAAAAATATATTTCCCAACAACAACAAAACTTTACAATAAGAAGCTCTATAAAATTACAAATATATTTCTATTATAAAAAGCCTTTTGTTTTTTAAATACTCTTCCAGCTCAAGTGTTGAATGAGGGAGTGTAACTTGGTCTGTGGCATGATTTAGGATTTCAAAATAAAAAATGTTCCAGTGACTGTTTTTATATTCCTCGTCGTAAATTCCTCACGACTTTTCATGGCGTCCGATTCGTCGTATTCTCGTCGTCACGGTAGCTCTGGAGCTAAATGTGACCCGTGTTGCAGTCCAGGTGGAGTTAGTGGGTTAACTTTAGCAGAACGAGGCTAGACTTGGTGCCGAGGTGGAGACACTTTGTCCCATCCTGCTGGGGGGTTTCCTGGGAGGGGAGTGGGGGGGGTGTTAGCTGCTCCATGGGGGGTCCAAACGAAGCGATCCTGGGTGTCACATGCCTGAAGAGAGCCAGAAACAGACAGACATGATTAGAACTGGACTCTATTCTCAGAGCGCCGGACGTACGCTTTTACAGCTCCTCGTAAACACCGGGAATAAACACAACTGTTGTCCCGTACTCAGATCTGGTACTCGAGTAAAAGTAGAAGTACTCAGATATTGTACTTGAGTAAAAGTAGAAGTACTCAGATCTTGTACTTGAGTAAAATTAGAAGTACTCAGATCTTGTACTTGAGTAAAAGTAGAAGTACTCAGATCTTGTACTTGAGTAAAAGTAGAAGTACTCAGATCTTGTACTGAAGTAAAAGTAGAAGTACTCAGATCTTGTTACTTGAGTAAAAGTAGAAGTACTCAGGTCTTGTACTTAAGTAAAAGTAGAAGTACTCAGATCTTGTACTTGAGTAAAAGTAGAAGTACTCAGATCTTGTACTTGAGTAAAAGTAGAAGTACTCAGATCTTGTCTAGTAAAATTAGAAGTACTCAGATCTTGTTCTTGAGTAAAAGTAGAAGTACTCAGATCTTGTCTTGAGTAAAAGTAGAAGTACTCAGATCTTGTTCTTCAGTAAAAGTAGAAGTACTCAGATCTTGTTCTTGAGTAAAAGTAGAAGTACTCAGATCTTGTTCTTGAGTAAAAGTAGAAGTCCCAGAGTGTAGGAATACTCTGTTTCAGTAAAAGTTCTGCATTCAAAATGTTCCTCAAGTGAAAGTAGAAAAGTATTCTCATCAAAATATAGTGAAAGACAGTAAAAGTAGTCTTTGTGCAGATTGGTCCATTTCAGAATAATATATATGATATGTTTTATAATGATTGATCATGAAAGTGTTCTCAAAGCTGGTAAAGGTGCAGCTAGTTTGAATGACTTTGTATACTGCAGGGTAGCTTGTGGATTTACTCCAGGTGGAACTAAAGTCTGATTTAACACTTGATTATATTTCACATCATTCATCCAGATCTGTGAAGTAACTAAAGGTCAGAGGCTGAAACACAGAACAGTGCGTGGCAGAGGAAAGAGGAAAGAGGAAAGAGGAAAGAGGAAAGAGGAAAGAGGAAAGAGGAAAGAGCTTCTAATCCGGTCTCATTCCATTCCTGAATTTCACCCAGCATGCATTCCTTCTAATCTGATGCAAGTTCAAACACTCTCAGGGCTCGAAGTGGAGAAAACGCAAATGAGTCTGGTATGTCTTTTTACTCATGATGTTGAGTAAGCTTCTAAAAGACGCCCTGATGCATTCTCAGGTCACAGCGTGCAGAGGCTCCTAAAGCTTCAAGCAAGTGAAATACAAGACCTCTAAAGACTTTAAATGCAACTCTGGATGAAGTGAAAGACCCATTTACAAAAATGTAGGAAATTGCAACTAGTTATCTTTTGCTAAATAGTGCAGTCAAATAAGGCTGATTTACATTTTCTTATTTATATTTTGACTTGAATTCTAAATTAATTGCATTAAAAAATAGACAAAAATGTCTGTATACGTATCATTTGAATGATCTGTGTGAATCTGTGCCGTCCTGCTTTTCCTTCTCACCCTGTTGCTGTTAAACTTCTGAATTTCCCCACGGGGATTAATGAACGTCCATCTTATCTCATAACACGCTCCTTCATCGCCCTCGCCCCCGGCACACCCTCGTTCGGTAGCAGAACGGAGGGGGAGTTTCTCCTCGTGTCACTTCACGAGCGGTCGTTAGCATAACTGACATAGAGAACAAACGCTGCACTTAATCCTGAGCGGTGGGCCGCGCCAGCACATGAGCTAATTCATCAGGGGGTCTGTCAGCGAGGGGATTAACACTCACTCTCTAAAGTCCGATCAAGGTCAGCGATGAAGTCCTCCAGCTCCTTAGTGTCGCCCAGTCTGGCTGCAGAGGGAGAGAGAGAGAGTCAGACTTCAGACCAGGAAGAGTGAAATGTAGTATCTTCTAGGATGCACAATTAGGTGAAGGGTTTTTGAAATAGCAAAATGGATTATATCCAAATCATATATAAACTACGTATTGTACTTTGCAGAGTAAGTAAACCTGGATGTATTTATGTTTGTGTATGCAGAGTCACAGTGGGTTCACTAACCAAAGCATCAATGCTTTCTCTCGCACATAATGTGATGTGTGTGTGTGTGTGTGTGTGTGTGTGTGTGTGTGTGTGTGTGTGTGTGTGTGTGTGTGTGTGTGTGTGTGTGTGTGTGTGTGTGTGTGTGTGTGTGTGTGTGTGTCTGTGTGTGTGTGTGTGTGTGTGTGTGTGTGTGTGTGTGTGTGTGTGTGTGTGTGTGTGTGTGTGTGTGTGTGTGTGTGTGTGTGTGTGTGTGTGTGTGTGTGTGTGTGTGTGTCTCTCTCTGTGTGTGTGTGTGTGTGTGTGTGTGTGTGTGTGTGTGTGTGTGTGTGTGTGTGTGTGTGTGTGTGTGTGTGTGTGTGTGTGTGTGTGTGTGTGTGTTGTGT